AGTGGACTCGTACCATCCGCGCTCATCTGCGCGATATACCCGAAGCGTTGCCCCATGTACAGCTGCTCCGCGGGCTTGTAGCCGTTGGTGCAAGTCTGTTTATAGAGCACGCACGGGGCGCACCGATTGCCGTGGCGCCCGTCGACGCTCTTGAAGCAGACGCGCTGCCGCGTCACGCACATCGCGCAGGGCCTTGGCGCGACCTCCTATGAAAAAGGGAGTCAGTCGTCGAGGCATGAGAGAAAAAGATAAAAGAACGCACGAAGTCAGTGGGCACCTCTACGCCGGCCCTTTCCAACTTCCCCACGAACCCTTGGCGTGCCACCGAAAGGAGCGCCTCGGTGTCGTAGGCGGCGGGAGTGAACGGAGCTCGGGGCGTGGGAGCCGACGCCTTCGCAGGAGTCTAGAAACAGTCAAGTCAGTAAAAAGTCAACGACAAGAAAAAGTCGCGACTCACCGAGTCAGATTTCTTCTTGGCCGCCGCAACGGACTTTTCTGCCTTCTGAGCCTTGAGCTCGGCCTTGGCCGCAGCAACACTCCGCTCGCGACCAAGGGTCGCGGCCACCCTGCCCAACTCACTGCGTGGAGTCTTGGTAGCGGCGGGAGCCGCCTGGGCAACCTAGAAAAGAAAAAAAAACGAATTAGTCGACGTCTGGGACTCAAGGTTTGTGTCTCACCTTAGCCACTGGGGTCGGGGTAGTCGTCGCTCGCGGGGCGCTCGCCTTGCGACTGGCCTCCACCTTTGGCACCGGTTGGGGAGGCACGGACTTGGTCGACTTGGACGATCCGTCCGCGACCTTCTTGATTGACTAAAAAGCTGGATTAAGGGGCGTGGTCTGGGAAAAAGGAGTCGGCTCGCCTTGGGCTTGACGCGGGTCTCGTTGACCTGCTTCTTGGCCACGACGAAATCGCCGGTCTCCTCTCCGCTCTCGGAGGTGTCGTCCATGACAATGACGGACGGGGCTACGAGAGTATGAGTAAACGACAAGGGGGAACAAGAGGAAAAACGCACTCAGATTCGATCGCGCTTTCCCCTTGGACTTGGGCCCCTGTCAAAAACAAACCAACCATGAGACGAAGAATCGCGATCGACGAACTGGCTCACTTACCTGAAGGGCCAGCTCGTCGGCCGAGGACGCGTCTCCCTCCTGGACCCCCTCGTCGTCGACATCCATCGCAGTGTCGGCGACGGCGGCGGCTTCCTCATCGCTGAGGGACTTGGGCTGCACGGGTTGTGCTTGGATCCGGGCTGGGAGGGACCAAGTGGTTAGTCTAAAGATCAATGAAATAAGACATAGGATCACACACCTGCGTGCGTCTTCTTGTGGACGCGCTTGGGAGGTGACCCCTGTGGAACAGGGACCAAGGTAGCGGCTACGACAAGATCAGTACCCGCGACTTTGGTGAATGAAATGAAAAAGCCACTTACGAGTAGGCGCATGGGACGACGCCTTGGGCTCCTTTGCAGGAGTCGCCTTGGGTCGCTTCCCCTCCGACTTCTCGCTCGACTTCTGGGCGACGGCGACCTTGCTGCCCGCGACGGCGGCAGGGGCCTGCGGCTTGGAGCCGTCACCCTTCCCCTTCTGCTTGGCAGGCCGGGACGACAAAGGGGCGGCGACTTGTTCGGTTGGAGCCGCCTGGGGGTCGATCAGAACATAGTAAACGAATGGAACAGATTACACGTACGGGTTCGACGACTCGCTTGCGTTTCTTGGGCGGCGACGACTCCTCGACTGGAGCGTTGGTGGTCAAGGGCGCAGGCGCCGGCTAGCCCTTACGTTAGTGAAAAGAATGGAAGGCCAAAGCGAACAGACGCGGCAATCATTGATCGCCGTGACTATTCGCTCCAGCGGGCTTAAGACGGAGCTCACCTGTTGGATCTGGCGGACGTCGACGGCCATCTGCCGCAACATCTGGTTGTAGGCCTCGGGGCTAGGCAGGTGGTGAGTTGAGTCGACAAGCCATGGGAGAGACCTTGACGGACGGCATGAACTGCCACCAGTCGATGGCAGGCAGGTTTGCTCCCGAGACAGCTGATTTGGTGACGGCTGATGGATGGTTAGCGTGGTTGAAAAGTCGCGGTAACCGTCTTGGGCGTCACTCACGGTTGGTGTCTTGGGGGCGGGGGCTCTGGTCGGGCGCGGACATGGTGGTCAAAAGGCAAGAGTGTCTCGTACTAGGGAGACTCTCGACCCTGAAAATTGAGGGCATTTATATGGTGAACATGCCGGAAGAAGTTTGATCGCGGCAGATCACGGAAGGAACCGAACAACCAAATGAATAAGACGTGGGAACATAACTCTATGTCTCCGCGGCTTTAATAATAAATGAACGAGACGTCGACTGTTGGACTTAGACCTGACGCAGTGAGACTGCCGCGGGGTTGACCAGGAGGTCAAAATTAGTGTTCCTGGGAGATGATAGGCTGGCTACCAGACGCGCTCTGCACCAGCTCTGTAAGGGCGTATTTTTGCGCTTTTACAGAGTTTACTCTTGAACCACTCGGTGTATCATGTCGCGGTTGACAGTGTTGCGCTCAGTAGGACTTATGGGTCTACTGCCCAGTCGACGACTGTGGATAGTGTCGACGATAGCAAGGCAGTCAGACCACTACTGTGGAATTGGTCTTATGAGTCTACACCAGGCTCAGGGCCATTAGTGACGAACGCTTGGACCGCGACCATTCCCCAGAAAGGGGATCTGTCGTTGCGTCGACTTCTCGAAAAGGGTCATTCTCTGCAGATGGGAACTTGGGCTGAAGGGCTGAGCAATGCGCGACGTTCTCAATAATAGAACTACTACTGGACAGGGCTTGGCGTTACGAGACTTAAACCATCTTGTCGCGGCAACTCCCGGTTTTGAGTTGGACGTTTCCTCAGATCATGCCACGACGACGACTTGTCACATGTCAGGATCCATTCGATCACGGGACATTGTGGACGCGTCGCGGTGACACTTCCAAGTGTCACGGCGAGTCGCGCCCATACTCAAACACACTAAAATCGATACGGCTAGATCCGTGAACCGAACCATGTGGGAGACGACTGGCGTGCCTAGAGCCATACGGCTTCTTGGGGCGCCCACGTTGGCCTCACATGCCAAGACATACCCGTTGGCCAATCCAGCACGTCGTATTCCAAAAGTATGACGCGGTGGGTTGGCCCACATCAAAAGTATCATATGGACTATGGGGCGGGGTCCTGATCACTCAGGACCTGTCCGATCGTTCAACTTTTCAATTACCCTAAAAGGCAACCGATCTTAGATAGCGTAGCTACTATGCAGTTGTACAGGACTTTACTAAGCAGCGTCGTAGACAGTATAAGTAGCACGTCGTCTCTTTGTATTAGAAAGCTTTCCCCCGGACTGTGAATCACTATCATTTCAGATTGTTTTGTACAATTTGCGTGCCGCGTGATTCCACCCTAAGAAGTTCTGCCATCCCTGCCCGGTCGCGACGAGTTGCTCCCTGAGCACTTGTAGCTACTGTGATTTGAGTTTTGAGTTTTGAGACATCAGAAAGTCGGATTCGCCGCATCTGGTTTAGTCGCGGCATTTAGTGTCGTCGCCTTCGGGCTTTGTTGAGATCGTTCCACACCTCTAGCTTGGCAGTGCGTCGACTAGTTGTGCTCGGGTTGTTTTGGTCAGTTGGCAGTGCGTCGACTTGAGAACTTTGGTTCCACACTTCTTGCTTGGCAGTGCGTCGACAAGTTGTGCTCGGGTTTTGGACATTGGATATTGGCTGTTAGTTGGCAGTGCGTCGACGCGGCATTTTGGTTTACTAGTTGGCAGTGCGTCGACTCAGTACTTTTGGTTGTGTCAGTTGGCAGTGCGTCGACTCGACATTTTGGTTTACTAGTTGGCAGTGCGTCGACTCAGTATATTGGTTGTATCAGTTGGCAGTGCGTCGACTTGATATTTGGGCTTTGCGTCACCATCTGGACGCTGTCGCTACAAGGGATCTTAATACTTCGTATTAAGTTCTGACTTGTTATATTGTTGGTTGTAGATTGGATTAGTGTTGGTTGTGATCGTATAGAAGATATTGGTTGAGACACCATTGTTTGCTATATATATATATTCTTGTCGTCGACTCCGTCTCCGCGACTATTGGATCTGCGTCTATTGAGAGTTGTGATACTGGTGCTCTGTCCACCCCGAAGCCCTCGCATCTTTCACACACTGAGAAGCTGATTACGAGGAGTGTGAACGTGTTTATATTGGGGTTTACTTTCATAGTAGATTCACTTGTGAGCACGCCCTCAGCATTTCAACGGGCCGCGACCGGGGCGCACCCAGTTTAACGGACGGTGCACCGGAGGAGACACCGCCCGCACTTCTGCAGGCTCGCCCACCTCTCCGCCGGCAGTCGATTCTCCAGCGTTGGCTTGCTGGATACGACGAGGGAGGGGCCGGAGGAGAGGAGGGGAGCGAGCAGGCAGGATGGTTTTGGGGGGATTTCTCGACATGCTGGTCGAAGATGGGGTTTTGGTAGATAGATTCGGTGGGGTTGTCGATGCGAGACGGCGAAGTGGTTGATCAGACCACGGAGACCAGAGGCAAGCAGCGACGAGTTACGGAGAGTCAAAAAGATGTAACAGAAGCGACGAATCGAGTTCTGCTACACGTAGAGCGAAGGCTGACTGTTCAATGTAGTAGTATTCACTGAAGAATTATCTACCATGTGACTACCGTATCATCTAATCAGAGTGGCTGTGTAACGATGGGATCAAGGGATAAGTACACAGACACGAAGGAGAAGTGGAAAAATACGTAGTCAGACGGGAAAAAAGAACTGTAGGGTACATACGGAGTCTGACCGTTACAAGGTTCAAGAGGATATAGCGGGCATAGCGGTGAGGGATGCAGGGGTAAGAGGTACAAGGTAGGAGGGTATGAGGGGAGTCTTCGAATTATGTGACAATCAACAAGAAATAATGTTGGAAAGAGAAGTCAATTCGAAGACTGGAGAATACAACCAAGTAGCTACAGTATTTATACCCAAGTCCAGTCTGAGTCATATCTACGACTAATGAGTCATAAGGCTATGTACCGCATGGAGCACTGGTCATGGGTTGTAGTAGAACCTTCTGGAGCATATGTTGTGCAGCCTTGGATCAATAAGGATAATCCCTAGGCCCCTAGCCCGGACTGTCAAATGCCTGTGATCCGTGATAAGATAATCCGTGCCAAGATAAGATGAGATCATTGATGATAAGATGAAAAAGGGGTCAAATTTGGACAGTCTCAGGAACCTTGTGGTTCTTCCGAGCTTGCCCTTCAGTTGTTGATTGAACTGCAATTGCGCATGCACCTGATAGGTTATGAGTCTGAGTAACATACTGTCACAGACAATACCGCGCAGTGGAGATACGACCAGTAGGGATCACCTATAAGACAGAGTCTCAGCGAGTGTAGAGACACAGGAGCCAAGGATATGGAGCGTGTAGTACTAGGTTTATATACCAGTCTGGAGCAGATATCATGATGTCATAGTGTAGTAGTGATATCATAGATGAGTAATGGATGACGCAATAATGAGGTCAGGTATGAGGTCATTGTGGAGCAAGCCAAAGTAATCTAAAGATGCTACATATGATGTCATGTCTACATACTGTGATAGTCACTTTTTCAAACAAGCATCAACACTCCCACTCAACTAAACAGTTGGATCACAAAGACCCAAAGACAGCCGATGTTGTTGGAACTTCACCCATGCCAAAGACTTTGTGAGCATCTCGGAGATCATTGCATCAGTCGGCACATGGTAAAGTTGGACATTGCCAGCTTCAAGGGATTCTTGTACAAAGTGATAGTGAATGTTGATGTGCTGGGTCCTCCTATCATGAACTGGATTTACTGCCATAAAGATAGCGCCCTGGTTATTAACACAAAGAGGCGTGGATGGCAAGTCTTATCTGAGCTTGGTTAACAAAGTGCAGATCCAGGCAATCTGGTGCGTAGCATCACTCAGAGCCATGTATTTGGCCTCTGTTGAAGACAAAGCAACCATGGGTTGGCGTCTAGAAACCCAGGTCACTGCACAACTGGCAATGAAGAAGGAATATCCCCTGGTGGAATGCCTGTCGTCTTTGTTCTCTGCCCAATCAGCATCGGAATAACCGATAAGGCCTGCGCCAGTGGAACCATCACAGCAAAGTTGGTAGTGCTTGGTGCCCTGAATGTACTGGAGTATGTATTTTGCCATGTTCCAATGATGTTCTGACGGGTTGCTGTTGAACTTTGAAAGACGGATGACTGCATAGGCAATATTGGGGTGTGTACCAAGTATGGCATATAGAAGACTGCCAATCAACTGCTGGTAATGGGTACGACGGTCCTCATCAACTTCTCCATCACGCTTCTTGAGCACAATGCCGGAAGGCAGGGGAGTACAAGCTTCTTTACACAAAGACATTTGGAAATGATCTAGAACTCCAGTGATGTTGTGACAATCAACCAAAAACAAGTTGAAGATAGAAGATGAAAAAGTGGCTGAATTATGACAGATGTAGGAAGTTTGATCGACCCAGATTTTACGCACTTTGCAATCACAAACCATGTTCAGACCAAGGAAATCCTTTGCAGGACCAAGATCTATCATTTTGAAGCGGTGAAATGCTGAGGGCGTGCTCACAGGTGAGTCTACTATGGAAGTAAACCCAGATATAAATACGTTCACACTCCTCGTAATCAGCTTCTCAGTGTGTGAAAGATGCAAGGGCTTCGGGGTGGACAGAGCACCAGTATCACAACTCTCAATAGATGCAGATCCAATAGTCGCGGAAGACAAAGTGGACGACAAGAATTTATATATAGCAAACAGTGGTGTCTCAACCAATATCTTCTATACAACCAAAACCAACACTAATCCAACCACAACCAACAATATCACAAGTCAGAGCTTAATACAAAGTATTAAGATCCCTTGTAGCAACAGCGTCCAGATGGCAATGCAAAGCCCAAGTATCGAGTCGACGCACTGCCAACTGATGCAACCAATATACTGAGTTGACGCACTGCCAACTAGTAGAACCAAAATGTCAAGTCAACGCACTGCCAACTGACACAATCAAAGTACTGAGTTGACGCACTGCCAACTGACCAAAGCTACCCGAGCACAACTAGTTGACACACTGCCAAGCTAGAGGTGTGGAAAACAATCTCAACAAAGCCCAAAGGCAACGACACTAAATGCAGCGACAAAACCAGAAGCGGCGAATCCGACTTTCTGATATCTCAAAACTCAAACTCAAATCACAGTAGCTACAAGTGCTTAGGGAGCAACTCGTCGCGACCGGGCAGGGGTAACAGAACTTCTTAGGGTGGAATCACGCGGCACGCAAATTGTACAAAACAATCTGATATGAGAGTGATTCACAGTCCAGGGGAAAGCTCCCCAATACAAAGAGACGACGTACTACTTATACTGTCTACGACGACGCTGAGTAAAGTCCTGTACAACTGCATAGTAGCTACGGTATCTAAGATCGGTTGCCTTTTAGAGTAATGAAAAGTTGAATGATTGGACAGGTCCTGAGTGATCAGGACCCCGCCCCATAGTCCATATGGTACTTTTGATGTGGGTCAACCCACCGCGTCATACTTTTGGAATACGACTTGCTGGATTGGCCAACTGGTATGTCTTGGCAAGTGAGTCCAACCTGGGTGCCCCAAGATGCCGTATGGCCCTAGGCACGCCAGACGTTCCTCACATGGTTTGGTTCACGGATCTAGCCCGTGTCGCTTTTGATGTGTTTGGGTATGGACACAACTCACTGTGACACTTGGAAGTGTCACCACGACGCATCCAAAATGTCCCGTGATTGAGTGGATCCTGACATGTGACAAGTCGTTGCCATGGCATGACCTGAGGAAACGTCCAACCCAAAACCGGGAGTTGCCGCAACAAGATTGGTTTAATCTTGTAACGCCAAGTCCTGTCCAGTAGTAGTTGTAATATTGAGAACGTCACGCATTGCTCAGCCCTTCAGCCCAAGTTCCCATCTGCAGAGAATGACCCTTTTGAGAAGTCGCCGCAACAAAGAACCCTTTTGGGGAATTGTCGCAGTCCAAGTGTCCGTCACTAATAGCCCTGAGCCTGGTGTAGACTCATAAGACCAATTCCACAGTAGTGGTCTGACTGCCTTGCTATCGTCGACACTATCCACAGTCGTTGACTGGGCAGTAGACCCTTAAGCCCTACTGAGCGCAACACTGTCAACTGCGACACAATACACCAAGTGGTTCAAGAGTAAACTCTGTAAAAGTGCAATAATACGCCCTTATAGAGCTGGTGCAGAGCACGTCTGGTAGCCAGCCTATCAGCGGTTTGCAAGCAATGATTTGATCCACGCTATCTCTGGCAGATTGTTGTCTATAATGAGCATATTGTCAACATACAGCACCGAGATGATGACTGTATCTCCCACTTGTTGGCAATATGTGTAGACACCAGCATCAGAGTATGTCCAAGCAAAACCAAGTTCGAGGAGCGCATTGTGGATTTTGATATTTCACTGACATGACGCCTGTTTCAATCCATAGAGTGATTTGCGAAGGCGTGCCACCTTTTCTTTTGGCCATGATGAGAAACCTTTGGGTAATTCTGGAAGTTCCCCATAGATTTCTTCCTCCAGAACCCCGTTTACGAATGCCATTTTGACATCCATGGCATGAATCTCCCCATTTCCAAGAGCCATAAGTATGCACAAGGATTTCTAGCGCAATACTGGCAAGAAGGTCTCATCGTAGTCAAACCCATGAACCTGAGTAAATCCCTTGGCAACAAGTCGTGCTTTGAAACAACTATCACACTTCCTGCTAAACACCCATCTGCATTGGACAGTCTTTTGACCACGTGGAAGGCTGGTCAAATCCCAAGTAAAGTTTTCCTTAAGAGAGTCCAGTTCTTTGCGCATTGCCCACTCCCACTTGAGTGCATCCGGGCTCTTTGCTACGTCCCGCATGTTCTGAGGCAAGTCATGCTCAGCTTGGGCAGCTGACAACATAGACTCAATTAGGCCTCTGATATGTAGTTCCATCTGGCATAATGTGGGGCTTATTCCAACAAGTGCGGCAATGGGCAATCAGGCAATCATCTATCGGGCCAGGCATTAGGGGTACTTCTCGCAATCCCGTGACAAGATGTTGTTGCGTGAGGGGTGCCAGTGGCAGTGGGAGAGCAGGAGGTCCTAACCCTAACTCACGATACATCAAGGGCTTCATGAAGGAGACAACTCGGATGGCACATGTTGTGCAGCCTTTGTACAGATAACTCCTCTGAACCCCTAACCCGGACCATGTGATGCTGTGATCCATGATAAGATAACCTGTGCTGAGATAAGATAAGATTGTCAATGATAAGATGAAAAAGTGGCCGAACTATGACAGTTGGGATAAAGGTGTACATAGAAGGAGACAATATTGAGATGGACAGACAATCAAAGAAGATGAGTGACAAACAGTTGGGGCCATACAAGATTCTTGAGAAGGTCGGAGCAGCCACACAGAAGTTGGATCTGCCGGAAATGGACCAAAGTCACCCAGTGTTTAACAAGTCACTGTTGACACCCTATCACGGACTGCCCCCTCATCACTGAGAGAAGAGACCTGTAGCCAAGATGATCGGAGGAGCAGAAGAGTAGGAGGTCAAAGAAATCGTGAAGGAATGCAAAGTCGGCCAAGGGAAGCAGTACTTGGTCAAATGGAAGGGACGGCCGCATAGTGCACCTGGGAACCATCACATCACCTTACCCATGCAAAGAGAGTCCTGAAGGCTTGGCAGAGGAAACAATCTGACCCAGACACACACATTTGCCTGCTGCCAATGCTTGAAGCTGGACATCGGGACTACCTCATCCATTGCTACAAACCCAAAGACAAGTGGCTTCCATATCCCAGACAACAAGTCTTTGACCCCTATGAAAATGTCTTCACACCCATTGGCTTGGTCAATGAGGACATCGACCCTAGAGAGGGGGTAATCTCATAATTCAATCAATTTTTCATCATTCCTTCAATGATCTCATCTAATCTCAACATTTCGTTATCTTATCATGGATCACGGCATCACATGGTCTGGGTTAGGGGTTCAGGGGGGTTATCTGTACAGAGGCTGCATAACATGTGCTCCAGAAGCTTCTACAACAACCCATGACCAACGCTCCACATGGTACATAGTCTCATAACTTGTTTGATGTAGATATGACTCATACTGGGACTGGTATAAATACTCTGGCTATTGTGATGTATTCTCCAGTCCTGAAATGACTTGTTTTTTGGTTCATTGTCACAAGTGATATCTGTGATATAAGTGCAGCTTTTTGGGCTGCACTTATATCACAGATATGATTGTCACCATTAGCAAGATCTTTTTAGGTCATATTGCGGTCAAACATGTCCTTCCTCATATT